GAGTCGCATGGGTGAGCGGCGGGAGGCGCGGGCCAGGCCGGGCCGGGCTGGGCCGCCCGCGCTCCCTCGCCGTCTGCGCGCCCTCGCCGCCTCGGCCTCCGCGCGGGCTCGGGCGATTTCCAGGCCACTTAGCGCAACCTGAGACACTTTCACTCTGGATTTTTGTTCTTATTTTTAACAGAGCCCCCTCGAGTGACGTCGCGGGCCGGTCTCCTGGACACGTGCCTCGGGCCAATGGCCACAGCGCCGCGCGCCCACGTGACGCGCCGGCGGCCGCTCGGTGACAGGAGTCGCCCGCCGCCCCTCCCCCGCCGCCGCCGCCCCTCCCTCCCTTAAAGCGGCCGCATCCTCCGGCTCCGCGTGCCGGAGCCCCGGCCCCAGCGAGCCCGGGACCGTGTTTCCTGCGCTCGCTCGCGCTTTCCCCGCCGCCCTTGGTTCAGGAAGCCGAGGAACCCCGCGACAGCCCCGTCAGGTCACCCTGGTGTGCATACATGGACACGCGCTGGAAGATTGCTATTTTTAACATTTCCATATTGTTTACCGTGGGGAAAAATCCCACAATTCCTTGCACAAAAATGCATAAATAATATTAAATGAGCTGCTGAGATACAAAGGGACTTTTGTAGTCTCCTTTCCTTGCTGGTGGATGGGGAAATTGACACTTACACTTGACTTTGGTAACCTGGCAGATTCCGGTCTTAAACGCAGAACTGGCGTGCAGGACCCTCCTCCTGTAGATACTCATTGTAAGTGTGCATGCGTGTGCGTGTGCGTGTGCGTGAGCAGGGAGGCGAGTGCATCTGGCAGGATTCCACCCGGGAACACAGATCCTCATGCAACATGCGTGTAGATCCCGAAGAGCGCGGGAATAGGATTTGGGGCTCCGTGTGGGGGGAAAAAGAAATAAAGGAGCATGGCGGGTTATAACTGAATCTTCTGTTTTGGAAAGGAGCGCGGGCTGACGGTTCAGCCAAACCTTCAAAACCATCCGCAGAGAAAACACCCCAGAGCAACCGCCCCCTCTTCTCAGATAACCCTCCCAGCCCCACCCCCACATCTCTACCCCCACTGACGGGCTACCAGGCCATTTACCTCATTTTCTTTGTCCTAAAATCCTTGAAACAAGTTCCTCGGGAGAGCAGGGGCCATCTAAAAGTGGGTGGAGGGGTGAGGGCCCCAGTTTGTTTCTCCCCACTCCTCTCCTTTTTTCTCTCTCCCTTTGTAAACTTTCTTTCCCGTGGCTGTCAGATGTCCAACTTGAACTTCTGTTTCCTCTTCCCTTCCCCCTCTGCCCTTAGGCTCCTTGTTTGCTCTTCTCTCCTTCCCCCCAGCTGCAGACACCCCACCAAACACCCTTGTTCCCCTAAGCTTGCCTGTCTATCCTTTAAAATGCATTTTTATGGAAATTTGCAAACTTCAGGAAGCCTCCGAAAGGACTGCTCCAAGGGTTTGGGAGCACTGACACAATAAAATTGCCCTCAGTGGAAAGAGGGATGGGGAGGAGGGGAGGAGGGAGAGCTGGGGCGCCCTAGCTCTGGCCAGCCCAGGCGGCTTTGGGGTGCTCAGCAGCTGAGGCCCACTGCAGAGCAGCTCTAGGTCTGGGGCTGCCAGTGGGGCACTGCCAGGCTGGGCAAGGCAGGATCAGGTCTGGGCAAGCAGCCCTCCCGGCAGTGTGATCGCCAAGCCACCTTGCGGGTTGAAGGCTTCCCCCTAGCCTGGCTCAGCTCTCCTCCCATTGCGCCCAGGTCCTATCTTCTCTCCAACCCAGCTCTGTCTGCTCACTGCAGGTTCCAGGGTTCAGGCGGGTGGGGGTGGGGGACAAACAGCAGTTACAAGGTTCTGCTCCCAGGGAAATTAACCCTCAGGAGGGGGCCTGGATGGGGGACAGGAGGAGGTGCTGGACTGGGTCACCTGGCCACTAAGGGTGGACTGAATGTGGGTAGGCTCCCACGTTTTCCTCCTATTGGAGGGGTCCTTGCCAAATTACCGGCTAGGTTCATACCTGCCAGGGCTCCTCCCTGGGTCTCAAAAAATCAAACCTCACAGTCTGTCTGTCCCTAGGAAAATGGGGATGGTGAAGTTTGTGGGAACACCCTATTGACTTCTGTTTATGGTTTTCCGGGAAATTTTCCTCCAACTCTGAGGAACCCTAATCATCACCAGCCAGGGAATGTCCAAATTACTTTGGGTCTCCAGAACTCAAAAGGAGTGGAGAGAAGGCCCAGGGCTGATTTGCTTCCTGCAAAGCCATCCCAGGTTAATTTCTCCACCTGTCCCATGAAAAATCAATCAGACTGTCTCCTGAGAAATATTTTCTAATTTCTTGGGAAACTTTGCCTCTGATTGCCTTAGCCTTAAGTGAGCCCATGGTACTGGACTTCTGCTGTGTCCTTTCCTGCAATCCAGACCCATATTCATGGCTGCAGCAGGAACTCTGCAAAGCAGCACATTATCTCCAGGCAAACCCAGGCTGTTTGTAGGCAGCAACCTGCGGACACCAGGTCTCCAGCCGGCAGGGTCAGGCTGGTCTGAGGGAGAAGGCGGATTTCCAAGTTACTGGCTTGGAGAGGGGAGCAGGAGGTGCAGGAGGAGGAGGAAGGCAAAAAGAAAGGAATGTGGAGAGAAATAATTAAGAGTATCAGGCCACCCAAAGCCAACCCAAACATGACAATAATTCCCCAAAAGAGCGCCTCTTGAGAGTGAGCACCATACAAAGGGCCAGCCAGGAGGGCAGGAGAAACTGGGCCGAAGCTGCCCACATTGAGGGAATTGTAAATCTTACAACACGGGCACAGCAACAAGCTGTTTCAGGAAGCTTGGAAAACATGCTTGACACCCAGCCCCCGCCCCCTGCGAATCAGGGACACCACCTTGGCTGTGCTTCTGGGGGGTGCGGGGGGGGGGTGGGCATTTGCTGCTCTCTCCTCCAGTCCTGGAGATGCCAGCCAGTCCCGCAGCCGCTCGGCCCCGCGGCCCTGCGCCCGATGAGCTGCGCTCCCCCTCCTGCCTGATGGTGACGGCCGCCGCAGGCGCGCTCGAGGTCGGCTTCTTGGTGCGCGACCAGGAGAGCCACCGCTGGACTTTTGTTTCTCCTTAGCGTCAAGTGAGGCCTGGACCCGGGAACCTGGAATACTCCTGACCTCGCAGGTGCTGGAGAGCATCGGCAAACCACCCGCGTTCAGAGAACCATCTCCACACTTCCCGGGCTATCTGCACGAAGAGGGACCTGGAAGAGTATCCAAAAGGAAAGACGGCTTCTAGACACGTGGATTTATAATAGCGACACTAATAATACAAATAAAATCTCGCACAGGGCTGCGGAGGGCAGGAGCTCTCCTGCGGACGTTGGGTGGCTGGCTGCTGATTCAGCCTCCCCCCCTTTTTATTTCCTTAAAACGAGGCTGGAGGAGGGTGACTTTTTCGGCAGCTCCGTTGTCCCCTCACTTCCCACACTTGTCTAAGTGGGTGTGGGGACACTCGGGGAAAAAACGAACGCAGTGAGGATGGCGTTTGGTCGCGGGGGTCACTGCCACTCTGCTGGTAGAGACGTCCAAAAATTCCAGAGAGCAAGACTTCCACCCCAACAAAAATCAGGCTGGGGAGCATCCCCCCACCCCCCCGCCGGGAGCCGGCTCTGCGCGGCCTGGCCCTGGGCGTGGAGCCGGGGAAGTGGGGCCAAGCAGAAAGAACCCCCTCCAGCCTGACAGAGAGCCACCCTTGGTGCTGCCGCAGCTCCCCGGGCCTGTAGACAAAGGCCGCAGTGAAGGGGCACGGGGAGCAGGGGGTGGGTCTTTGGGTGGCGCAGCAGGTGGAGGGAGCATGTCTGTGCTCACTTCCAAGGAAAGCAGGGGACTACAGACCCAGCAGGGGAACTTGGGGCCCGGGGTCATGGAGGCTGGGCCTGGGGTCAGGGGCCTCAGCCGGGTAACCCCAGGAAGGAAGGGGTTAAACACAGCAGTGGCAAGCCTGGGAGAGGCTGAAGCTGGTAGGGAGCAGAGGTGCCCACGCTCCTGGCTCCTGCACTCCAGGCCTCACACCTCTCCCTTTCCCAGGCCGGCAAGGGTCCCCCAGCTCCCCAGAGGCCCTGCCAGGTGCCACGGAGAGCCTGGTGGGCGGGTGGGTGCCCAGGGAGGCTCAGCTGAGGAGAGCGACAGGGCAGCAAGCAGCACTGCTTGTCTGGGGTCCTGGGGAGAGTGGAGAAGCAGCAGCTTGGGCTCAGCAAAAGCTCCCTGGGTGTCCGGGGGCGCCAAGCCGGGGAGACACCCACTGGAGACCTCTCCTGTCCAGACTGCAGGGAGAGGTCCTCATTTTGACACTTAGCTCTACAGCTAGCCTAGGAGAGCTGGGGAGATGTGTGGATGATGGGCAGATCTCCAGAGCTAGAGACTACCACGCAGAAAGCATCCCTAACCTGGTTTCTCGTGAAAACAGAAGCTTCTAAAGGGGGATGTGTAGGCTGGCCACACTTGTGCTCACGAACTCACACCCAGACTCAGTCTTGGCCCCATGACCACCCTCCCTTGACTTTCTCCCAGGCCCAGGTGACTCTTGGCT